GGACAGCCGGGTGGGCGGTAGAGGCGGCCCTCTTCCACGCTGGACGGGGCTTCGACGCGCCGCCTCCGTGCCACGCTTTGGCCACCACCGCCGCCACCACCGCCTCAGGTCGAGGGCGAGAAGCGGTGGACGCTGCACGCCCCTCCGGCTCCGGAGCACGTGCTGCCGCGCGACCCCTCGCCCGACTTCGCACCCGCCGACCTCGGCCCTCCCCTCGCGAGTGTCGCGCTCAAGCCGGGAGACCTGCTCTACCTGCCGCGCGGGACGGTGCACCAGGCCTTCACGCCGGCCGGCGGCGCCGCGTCGCTCCACCTCACCGTCTCGATCTCGAGGCGGCACACGTGGCGCGACTTGCTCGAGCTGGGCCTGGCGGGCGCTCTCGAGGAGGCGGCGGCCGCCGACGTGACTTGGCGGCGCGCGCTCCCGCGCGAGTACGAGTCCTTCATGGGCGTGCTGCACTCGGACCGCGCCGACGCGCGCCGCGCGCAGTTCAGCCAGATGGCGCACGGCTTGCTGCAGCGGCTCGTCGCGTCGATGCCGCTCGACGCCGTCGCCGACCAGTTCGCAGGCCACTTCCTAGACACTTCCTAGACACTTCCTAGACACTTCCTAGACACTTCCTAGACACTTCCTAGTCGCCGACCAGTTTCGCAGGCCGCGACTGGGCGTGCCAAGCCCTTGCATGCATGAGGCTCCCCCCCTGACTTGGGAGCTTTGTGACCTGGACAGGCCGAGGCTGGATGTACGACCGCATGCCGCCGCACGCGACGCCCGACGACGCGCGGCGGCTTGCTCGCGCGGGGTCCCTCTCCCTCGCGTCCAAGGTCCGTCTCCGCTCGCGCTCCGCCGCTCGACTCGCCGTCGAGGGCGACGTGGCGGTGCTCTACCACCACGGCACGAACACGCGCGCCTACCACGAGGTGGGAAGGGTAGCCAGCCGACCCGACACGCTCGTAGCACTCCTGCCTCGCTCCTCGCAGTCCAGCCCGCGCGCCTCTGGCAATCACGTGTCACGCCTCTGGCAATCACGTGTCACGCCTCTTCACGCGCAACCCTGTCGCGCTCCTTCGCAGGTGGATGAGCCGCAGCACATCGACTTCGACCTCGACGCGGCCCCTGCGCTGGAGCAGCTGCTCGCGTCGTACCCAAAGTACGTGCGTGTGGGCGCGCTGCCGTGCGAGACGGCCGCGCAGCGGCTCGACGTCGCGAACGCGCTCGCCGAGGCGCATCTGATCCTATTGAAGCCCGGCGAGCGGCCGCCGCCCGCCGCAAAGCCGAAGCAAAAAGCGGGAAAGCGAAAGCCGGGCGCGCAGTGAGTGTTCGTGTGCGCGCGAGGTGACGCACGGCGGTCGGCGCTCGGGGGGGGGGTTGGGATAGTTCGTCGTATGATGTATAGAGTCTTGTGTGATGCACAGCGCACACAGCCTGAATCACATGCACAGAGTCAGAGAGAGCGCACAAGTAAGTGCCACTGAAAAGAAAAAAAGTACTGAGAACGGCTATGGTAGAATTAAAAAGAGACGCAAGAGCGCACAGTAGTTAAAACAGTACTCAGTAGTCAGAGAGGGGTGTTGGCCGTGTCTGTGGCCGTTGTGATTCTGTTGTAGATTCAGGAGCACAGGGAAAAGTAGACAGCGGAAGGATCGTTCGGCCCGGCCTGCCTGCAAACCATCTTACGGGTACCGAGTCGGTTCGCTTTTTCACGCATGGCGCAATGTTCGCAGCCGGCCGAGCAAGGGACGTATCCGTCCGATCCAACTGTTGCCGCATCGCCGATCTCAATGTAGAAGTCTCCACATGCCTCCAAGTTGCCTAGTTCGCTGGAGGCTTGTTGGTAGCACCATTGGTCCCCTTCTGGGCCCGCCAGACCAAGGAGGCGCTCGCCCGAGGGAGAGTCAACACACGGGTATGTCGGTGCGGCAGCAGACGAAGGAGGCGGCGGGGCCGGAAGCGGCGGCGGCGGCTGAGCGCCAGCGCACGGGTAATGGGGAGGCCAGTCCATCTTGCACCGCCACTGGCTACCGGTCCGCGCATACACGCACTCGCTCGAGTACTCAGGCGTGCCGGCATAGTGGCGCTCGCAGAGGTCGCGCCGTGCGGCGTTGAAGCTCGCCGGTGCCATTAGCGAGCCACACCACCTGCCACTGCTCCTGAGGTTCGTCTCGGTGGCGGTGAAGGGCTGGTTGAGGCCGCAAGGCTTACCGCCCCCAAGCGGCGGCGGCCTTGGTGGTGACGGTGTGGGAGGTGGTGGGGGCGGGCGAAGCGTCACAGGAGGCGGCGGGGCCGGAAGCGGCGGCGGCGGCTGAGCGCCAGCGCACGGGTAATGGGGAGGCCAGTCCATCTTGCACCGCCACTGGCTACCGGTCCGCGCATACACGCACTCGCTCGAGTACTCAGGCGTGCCGGCATAGTGGCGCTCGCAGAGGTCGCGCCGTGCGGCGTTGAAGCTCGCCGGTGCCATTAGCGAGCCACACCACCTGCCACTGCTCCTGAGGTTCGTCTCGGTGGCGGTGAAGGGCTGGTTGAGGCCGCAAGGCTTACCGCCCCCAAGCGGCGGCGGCCTTGGTGGTGACGGTGTGGGAGGTGGTGGGGGCGGGCGAAGCGTCACAGGAGGCGGCGGGGCCGGAAGCGGCGGCGGCGGGGCCGGAAGCGGCGGCGGCGGCTGAGCGCCAGCGCACGGGTAATGGGGAGGCCAGTCCATCTTGCACCGCCACTGGCTACCGGTCCGCGCATACACGCACTCGCTCGAGTACTCAGGCGTGCCAGCATAGTGGCGCTCGCAGAGGTCGCGCCGTGCGGCGTTGAAGCTCGCCGGTGCCATTAGCGAGCCACACCACCTGCCACTGCTCCTGAGGTTCGTCTCGGTGGCGGTGAAGGGCTGGTTGAGGCCGCAAGGCTCCCTGCCTGCCACAGGGGGCTGCGGGGGTGGCGAAGGCGGGGGCGACGCATACTGAGGCAGCACGCTGGACGACTGTATCACATTCCCACGGAGAAGCGTCTCTCCCCGACCCGAGTGGATCGCCGGACTGCCGCATGCCTCTAGGCGCGAGTCGACGACTTCCGCGCGCGCGAAGCCCAGGTCGCCCTCGAGCCAGTTGATCTCCACGACCCCGATGTACACTCCGGCGCCGCGTTGGAAGAGCGTATCTGAGATGCTGAAGCCGTCTGTCTTGGCTAGCGCTGAGCGGGCGTAAGAACCGTGGACACGCGAACGGTGTCGTGTGACTGTGCGCACAGTGCACACTCCGCTATCTCCCTTGCTCCCTTCTCCGCGGGGTCGCGCGCCATGTAACATGGGCCATGTGAATGAAGCTGCATAAGCCCGCCCTCTTTCTGGCCGCGTCCCTCCCCTGTCCTCTCGACTGCACTCCTCTTTTACATACATAAATGGCATGATCTCACTGCACTCAGGGGTGTGCAGATCTGGGGCAATCCTCCAAAAATATTTCAAATGCTATAACGTACTTTTTAACCAAGACACAACGATCCCTAAATCTCATCTCCCGTCTCTGCCGCGCTCGCACAGTCCTCAGACGACAGACCTCTTCCAGCAGGTCCTCCACACCGCGCTCCCCGAGGAGACCACGCACCAACCGCGAGAGAGTTTAAGGTCCCTCGGGCCAGTTGGGGGGGGGAAACCCAGCCCACCCCCTAGAGCTCCAGGTAAGGCCCAGGTGTGGCCTAGGGCATCAGAAGCGACCAAGAGGAGTCCAGTCTGAGCCATAGAGCCCATGTCTTTGCCCCCGAAGGTCGCGTTCAAATGCCCGGAACGGCCGTCTCAGTGGTGTCCGGCCGGCGCGATCACCGAGCTGTGACGCTCAGGGAAGCCTGACGAGGTACTGTTTCTTTGCCC